ATGGCTTCCAGATCCATCAGTCAAAGTTGACCTTCTCCCCTGAGAGGGAATGAATCCCTTCCATCACAGAAATCTTCCAGTACCCAACAAATATTAAATATGCTAGGCACTGTGCTAAGTGTTTTAAATAGTTTCTTATTTAATTTCATCCAATCCTGTGATTTAGATACATTGTCATTTCCCTTCCATAGTAAAGAAAATGGAGCCTTAGAGAGATTGATTTGTCTAAGGCCAAATGGCCATGTCACTACCCCACACTATCATCGGTGGGACAGTGGGAAGACCATAGGTTTTAGAGTCAGACTAATCCAGATCCAAATTTCAATTCAGTCATTTACCAGTCATTTGTGATGCTGGGCTGGCTACATAACTTCTCTGTGCTTCATTTTACCCATATGTTCAATGAGAAAACTAATACCTTGCAGTTCTAAAAGAATTATAAATTAATAATGCCTGGCACATATTAGTAGGAAGAGTGAATAGAATAATCATTGATAACTAATGATTACTTAGTGCTTAATATGAGCCTGGCACCAATATAAGTACATGTAGTACCCCATTTAAACTTCACAACAATTTTATGAAGTATACTACTACATCCCCATTTTATAGATGAAGAGTCCAAGGCCCAGGGCCAATAACCCTCTAGCTTCTTATGCTCTTTTCTTTACCTCTGTTTTAACATTCTCCTTGGAGACATGTGAAAACAGTAAGATTTTTTTTATTGGTGCATTATATATTATATTATTTTACATAATAGTGGAATTTGTTGTTATAGAGTTTGTTTCTAATTTTATTTCAGACTGTAAGTACTTATCCTGTTTGCCTCCATTCCAGCCTATATTTTGTTTAACACAGGTTAAAGATAAATTGGATTAACATTTAGCCATAGTAATACCATCTCTGAAGATGAAAAGCCACCATTTTATCAGGTTTTCTATACGCCAAGCAAATTATACTATAATCTCTAATACCTTATGTATCAGACATGTTCAAAAAGGCAGTTTTCTTCAAAATCAACTCAAATGACCTCTAAAAGACATGGCACATACAAAACATCACATTTTGACACTCAATACACAAAGCAGTGCCTTCAAAAATTGTTGATTGTGTGTACACAACCTGTTCCAGCTTTACCCTTACTTCAGAGAAGATAGGGTCGTGTCTTAATTGTCTCTGCAGGCCTCAGAGTGAAGTGCAATAATGCACCTGCAGCACAACTACATCTCATTTGACGCTTGATAGGAATCCAAACCCATGCTCATTAGGAAGCAAGAACACCCATCAAGCACCCTCTAACAGCCAATGGAGGTCAAACATGTTTACACAGACTATCATATGTATCTTCAAAACCACCTGATTTTTACTGGTGAAGGAAACTGAGGCTCCTCAGAGAGGTACATGGTGGTGAATTAGCCTTATTATGTTTTTAAACACTGGATAGATTTTTGCTGTTGTTATTTGTATTGGCTCCTTTTTGTTTTGAATACTACAAAAGCAAACAAATTTTCTTGTCAGTTGAATTATTTTTGTCATAATTCTCATGAGACTGTTCATACTTGAAAAATATCAGTAATAAGTTGACTAGCAGTTTTTAAATGTCATCTACAAATAGTTTTTATTTTGTTCTGATGCCTCTAAAGACTTTGCAATCAAATAGGCCAATTTTTTTTCTTTTTAAGATTTTTTTTAATAAGATGGACACAATTTATTTATTTATTTATTTTTATGTGGTGCTCTGAGGATCAAACCCAGTGCCTCACATGTGCGAGGTGAGTGCTCTATTGCTGAGCTATAACCCCAGCCCCCCATTTTTTTTTTATTAACAACTATTTCTGACAAGCACTTACTCTTGGGTACAGAGTTCTGATGGCACCACTTGAGCAACTTTGAGAACACACTAATGAATTGAGTTAGGAGTTCCTGGACTCTTTAATCAAGAAATGGATGTTTTTGTGTTCGACTGTTTTCGTGGTACTGGGGATTGGCTGAGGAGTGTTCTATGACCCAGCTATATCCCCAGGTCTTTTTAAATTTAATTTAATTTTGGTTCCAGGGATTGAACCCAGGGGTGCTTGACCACTGGGCTACATCTCCAGCTCTTTTATTTATTTTTTTAATTTGATACAGGGTCTTGCCAAGTTCCTTAGGGCTTTGCTAAGTTACTAAGGCTGGCTTTGAACTTATGATCTTCCTGCTTCAGCCTCTCCAGCCAGTGGGGATTACAGGTAATCACCACCATGCCCAGCTGCCTTTTTTACTTTTTGAGACAGGGTCTTGCTAACTTGCCCAGGCTAGCATTGAACTTGTGATCCTATTGACCTTGCCTAAAACAGATGGGTTTATGAGATTGCTAACCCAAGATTGTGTGGAACAAAAAAATTAATCATATGGAACTAAATGGACCAATGAGGGATGACTGTCATATGTTTGAATATTTTTGTTATGTTCCATTTCCAGGATATAAGTGTTAGGAAGACCTTTGTCTTTTTTCTTAGGCGATCTGCAACCCATAACAATTTAGTAGACTTCACTTTTATAAATTGAAATGAAACATTAATAAATGTCTTATCCTTCCTATCTAACTCCTAAGAATTCAGAAACTCTATTGGTTCTTCTTGTTTTTCATGGTAATATGACTATTTGCAAAGGTTCAATAAGAATCTGTTCCCTGTTCCTCTCTGACTTTTTAAAAACTGACACATAATTAGAAAAATTGGTTATGTAACTAAGTCTTTGGCTGGAATACTGTGTTTGACAAAGATGTTCTCTTATCAGATATAACCAGCCCCTTTTAAAGAACTAAGTTTTACCTTTTGGAGCCAATACTAATAAAACACTTCCAAGAAAAGTAGCTTGCTGAGTTCCCAACCTTATAGGCAAAAAGGAATGTCATCATTTGTAGCATCCAGGAAGCTTAAGAGATTTGGGGGACCTTGAAAAGAGAGGCATTTGCCAAAAGTTATAAGAACAGCAAGTAAAACCTAGTGAAAACAGTTTCTTGGTATGGTTTATTAACCTCAGGACAATAAATAAGAAAAGACTTTAAAAGTCCAATCCAGGATTCCTCATGAAAACTTTTGGCAAAGCAAACTTAACAAGCTCTGTTAATTAATATTCTTGCTGTGTCTTAGTAAATAATGAGATCAAATCTAATGGGACCAGCTTTATTTTGTGATCAAGAATAATCTTTCTTGGAGATTATAATAATAATAATTATTATCATCATCAAAACAGGGGAGTCTGTGGAGGAAAACAAAACAGAACTATGCATTGTTCAGAGGATATACCTTCAATTTATCTGAATCCAGCTTTCACTTATCTGATTCTAGCTTTTCATTGACTTTGAGCTATTTTACAGTTTTTTGAAATGGTAGCAAACCAATAAGTCATGTAAAATATGTTTATGAACAATAATTCCAATAGTTTTCCATCCCAACCTGTGGAAAAAGTAGTGTGGCTTTAATATTCCCAAATTGTAAATGGGTATGTTCTTTGGATTCTGGTTTTTTAAATTGTGCTAAAAGGTACATAACATAAAATTTGCCATTTTAACCATTTTAAATGGCATTAAGTACATTCACATTATTGTACATCCATCACTCCTATTTTTTTTTTCAATTTTCTTTGCAAATTGAAACTCCATATGCACTAGACACTAACTGTCCATTTTCCCTCCCGGGATTCTCTTTTGAACCAATTATAACATCTTCTGACTTCTGCATTATAAATTTTTTAAAAAAAATATTTTTTAAGATGTTGATGGACCTTTATTTTATTCATTTATTTATATGTGGTGCTAAGAATCGAACCCAGTGTCTCACACATGCTGGGCAAGTGCTCCACCACTGAGCCACAACCCCAAGCCCTAAAAGAAAATCTTTAACAAGTTAATTTTTATATTCTTATGAAAGTCATGATCTTATCTTTCTGAAAAAATATCATTTAATAGTCTCAAACTCAAAAAGGACCAGGTAAGTAATCTAAATGAATGAAGAAGGTTGGAAATGAAAAGTACTAACAACCAATTCAAAGTGCCTAGGTGACCAAGTGTCCTCATTTGCCCAGAACTGAGAAAGTTGGGAACGAAAGACTATTTTAAAACCAGGACAAATTTGTTGCCTTGAAAGTACCTGACCTATCTGACGTGACCTTTAATTCCTATTAATTTAATTGGGAATTAAGGCCTGGTATTAATATGTCATATGTTTTTCAAGAGAAGCCTCGAATTTGGCTATTTTTGTTAAATTTTATAAGTTGTAAATGATGGCAACCACCAAAATATTAAAGAAAAAAAATACACTACTGTGCAGATCAAGCAAAATGCTCCAAATTGCTCTGATGAAGAATGTCTGAAACCTGTCCACCCACCACCAGGCCATCACATGGCCACTGTGATCAGGAGGACATGTACTCTGGGAGCTGGCTCACCTGTTTGGGGGCGACCACCCAGCTGGGAGCTGTTACAGATACAGTCCCAAGTCTCCTAGGGCCTGGAACTCCTCCAGATAAGCTGCCAGGACCACTGAGTTCTGGTTTCTGTGTTACTCTATGGCTAAAACAAACTGAAAGGGACATAGAACAACTCCAATATATAGCCCTTTTTGGTCCACCACCCGCGGCCTAGGTTCCTTAGTTAGCATGTCCAGATCCCCCAGGTGCTCAGGGCTACAAGAATGAGGCAGTGAGGCGGTCTGAGTATGTGCTCCTGTTTGAAAATGAGGATGGCAATGGCAAAGGGGAAAGTGTGGGGGCTCTGCCAGGCAGCCCATTGTTCATCAGTGTCACTGAGAAGTAGGAGAACGCAGTAAGGCAGGGTCTGTGTGTTATCAACCTTCCAGGTTGGTGTAGGTGAAAAAGCCCGGGGCCAGATCTTGCCAGACCGCCCCTCCGGGGAGTAGGGCCACCGCGGACCTAGTTTGGCCTCCGGAGGCTACTTGGCGGTCCCTGCCCGCCCCTAGCCACGAGCTGAGGCAGCGCGCCTCCCTCCCCTAGCTCACCAGCTGTCCCTGGAGAAGGAGCGGAGGAACCAGACACCCGGAGCCAGGGAAGACCGCATCTTGCCTGGCTGGTACCCGAAGCTGAGTCGACGCAGGAGGGCGCGGAGCCTGCGCGTGTCCCAGGCCGGCGGTCAGCTGGGGTTTAAATGCCCCGCCGGCTGGCCCGCCCCGAACGCACTGCCAGAGCACTAGAGCCTCCGCCCCTTTGCACCTGACCGCCCTCGGAGCCCGGCAGAGCACAATCAGATGGGCCATCTCGCGGCCACGCTCACTAGGACCTGTTTTCTCGTATTTTGCCTCCCGGTCAGAGACTGACAGCTCTTGGTTTCCGGGCTCCTCTTTCTGCCCTGCCTGCACTTTGCGCCTCCCTACCCTCCAGGGAAATGAAAACAGCAATCCCAGGCGGGATCAGCTCTACGTGAGGATCCCGCCTAGCCGCAGCTGTCCCGGCAGCGCTTTCTAGCCTGAGAAGCAGTGGGCTGTAACAGAGACCGAAAACTGGAGCAAACTGGGGGCAACAGCTAACACCCTGTGCCGCCCTCATCTTACTGATCTGAATGCGGGCGCCCCCTTGGGAACTCAGTTTTTTTCAGGGAGGGATAATATTTGGCCCCAGATCCCTTTTAGACTTCAGTTTCCCGTCCTCGTTCAGATTTTAAACTACTTATTGAGCCAGTCAGGTGCCTTTTCCCTTTCCCCAACTCCCTACTCCCTGCAGAGACAGTGTTGTGGTCACCCGCGCTCTCCTTTCTGGAGGCAAGCAGTCAGGTGGCAGTGAAGAGCTACCAGGCAGAAACTTCTGAGCACGTAAAAATGACTGCCTCTAGCACTGAAGATTTCAGGGTATGTTTCCACCTATAAAAAGAAGACATTGTGAGATCCTTGTACAGGAGCCCAAGGGTGAACTTAGGAAGGGTGGAAAGGGAAGTATTCGCCTGAAAAATAAACTTGTTAATAAAACATAAAATAGGAATGTGTCTTGTGCAAATGGGTTTCAGCCCTGACCCCACCCTGCCCCTAACTCCTAGGAGTGCCCAAGTCTGAGAGCAAGGTCGGGGTAGTGATGCAACAACTTCATCACACAGGTGAGGACCCAGAAAAATGGGCTTGGCTGGTACCAGCCCTGGGATCAAGCAAAAAGAGGGTAAGCAAAGTTGTAAAACCCTCGGTAATGCCAGCAGTCAGGGGTATGGGTCTGGTGCCAGAAATGAAGAGGGCAATAAGCCAAGGACAGGGATAAAGGGACAGAGGAAAGAAGAGAGACATGGAACGGAGGTGCAAATACCAGGTCACATAGTACACAGCAAGCTGAAATCAAAGGAAGACTATTGTTAACAATGGCTCCTTAATCAAATCCCTCATTATGCCACACACTGTACCAAGGTGTAAATTTATTTAATTCTTACAAGTCAGATGAGTATTATCCAAATGGTTAGGGTGACTTTATGTCCTGGTGTGCCTAGGGTAATCCCAGGAGACACCTGATGTCCCAGAATGTATGATGGGCCAGCTCTGGGGTGAGTGACCCCAAGTGAAGGCTCCCTTTCTTAAAGGAGGAGTAAGCTGATTTTCCCAGGATGACAGGTACTTATCTCTAAGGAAAGAAAAGGATCAGATTGGAATGCAAATGAGCCAAGGAAAGTGCTGAGGGTAACTGATGCCACTAGGAGGAGTAGGGGACATCAGGAAGGATGGAAGAGACCACTTCCAGAGCCTCAACAGTGCTACCCAGACTCCCATAGTGTAGAACATTCGTCTTACCATTTCAGACAGAAAAACCAAGGATGAGGAAGGCTCACTTCTGTTCATTTTCATGCCCTTTGGGAGAAGCTGTTTTGTGTTTCTGAGAACCATGCTTGCCTGGTGCTGGAACTTTGAGAGGTATTAAGAATATGCCCCCATGGTAGTATGGCTGTTATTCACAGTGTGCCAATAAGTAGCTGGGAGCAGGGCCAGTCCTAAAACAGTCTTTGCCTTGTGCCAGTTACTTCCTATGGATTCGAGCCATGTATCCCTGTTCAAAGGCCAGGATGGCAGCGGGAACATGCCAACTGACATTGGAACCCTTTCTCACTTGCTCCTATAGGTGAGCAGGATGATCTCTTTGCTTCCTGCTGCTTGACGGAGTGGCAAAGAGGGATTTTATGGCTCAGGTAGTCCTTTCACTCATTGGTGCCACCTCTCATTCTTTGGTGGAGCTGGGGATTGAACCCAGGACCCTGTACATGCTAGCCAAGTGTTTCACTACTGACACTGAGCTACATCCCCAGCCCCGCTCTCCACGTTTCTGTTTCTTAAGGTTTTTACAAATATTGTTTATTTTAATGAAGCTGGTACAGACAATGTCCATTTAAAACCCACATCCCAGACCAAAAGTACAAATAAAATCAAAGGAACAGTGTTCTGCTGTACATGCTTCTGTATGAATAACTTTATTAATAGCTAATGAAAATTAGAACTTTTCAAGGATCTTCTGATGATTTTTTTTTTTTAATCTTAAAATGCTTTCTCTTTAGTGAAGCCATCTTTGGAGTTAGTCATTACTCTCACCATGTCTGTCATCTTGACTCCAAAGCTGATATTCCTCCTCTTTTGGTCCAGACCCTCATATTTTAAAAGTAGCATCAAGTTAAGGAAAGGTCATTTTCCCACAGTTCAGTTCTCTGAAAAACTTCCATCTCCCACTGAAAGTCATAGTCCAGGAGTGAAGCAATCACATGCTAGAACTTCAAGGCCAACTGTGACAGAGACAGTGTTGTGGTTACTCCTGCTCTCCCTTCTGGAGGCAAGCAGTCAGGTGGCAGTGAAGAGCTACCAGGCAGAAACTTCTGAGCACATGAAAATGACTGCCTCTAGCATTGAAGATTTCAGGGTATGTTTGACATTCAGATTGGTTGATCTTATTTATCACCACAGGCCTGAAAATGCACAGTCCTGAAAAAAGTGGCCTCTCTGTGTATACGTGTAATTTTTTAAAAGGAGAGGGCAATATGAAGGGAGCTGAGGTTTGATCACCAAAATATCAGCACAATGAAAACAAACAATAATGAATAATGAGCACTGAATTCAAATTACCAGATGTTTTAAAGAGATGGGTGTCAGTTTTCAATTCCATCTGAACACCACATTACAAAAGAACTATTTTTAAAAATAAAAAAAGATTGAGGGAAAAGAAAAAAAAAAAATACCTAAGCCCTTTAATGACCCCGTTTGTTCCTGATAAACTTTAATCACATCTTCTTCCTCCATTTGCAGTTCTTTTGGAGTTTGATTATCAGCAATTCTCTGACCTTCAAAGAGAAACTTGAGTGAATTCATTGGAACTTTCTGTCTTTGACAGTATGATTCTTGAGATGTGTTGTCATTTTCACTTTGAAGTGAATCTCACTGCTATCCTGTCCAGTGACTTTTAGTTTAATGTATTTTCTGCTTTCTTATCCCCCAAATCCTCAGTTGAAGGTTTTGCTTTCTGATGAGACATGGTGATGGTGGCTTCACCCTAGAGTCTCCGCACAGCAGTGACCTCAGGTACGCAGAATCTCTGTCTCCCTTTCCCACAGCACAACACTGTGGCTGCAGGGACTTCTGCTACACCTCCCTACCTCTCCAAAACTTTTGACTCTCCTTTCTGTTGTTATCTGGCACTGTCCACATTACCTTCTCAGAGCCTGCAGGATGTATCTGAAGCAGATGAGGAGGGAAAGGAGGAGCTACTGAATCAGACACTAAAGGAAAAGATCCTCAGTTTTTAAGTGAATAGCCCTATAATTTGTCAAAAATGCTTACTACAGATTGTTTCCTTTACTGAGAAGAAAATCTGTGAGGTGAACAGAGAGCCTATATCCTGGGAGCAAATTTTTACCTCTCACACATCAGAGCACTAATCTCTAGGGTATATAAAGAACTCAAAAAGCTAAGCACCAAAAAACCAAATAACCCAATCAACAAATGGACCAAGGACCTGAACAGACATTTCTCAGAAGAGGATATATATAATCAATCAACAAATATATGAAAAAATGTTCATCATCTCTAGCAATTAGAGAAATGCAAATCAAAACTACTCTAAGATATCATCTCATTAGAGTTAGAATGGCAGCTATTATGAAGACAAATAACATTAAGTGTTGGTGAGGATGTGGGGAAAGAGGTACACTCATACACTGCTGGTGGGTCTGCAAATTGGTACAGCCAATATGGAAAGCAGTATGGAGATTCCTTGGAAATCTGGGAATGGAACCACCATTTGACCCAGCTATCCTTCTCCTCAGACTATACCCAAAGGACTTAAAAACAGCATACTAGGGACACAGCCACATCAATGTTTATAGCAGTACAATTCACAATAGCTAAACTGTGGAACCAACCTAGATGCCCTTCAGTAGATGATGCCACAGTCTGGCTGGGCACAATCAGGAGCCACTTGTCAAAAGAAACTAACTTTATTTTTAGAACTATACACGCCAAACAAAACAGCCTCTCAGGAAAAACCCTCAGAGCCTCAACTGCCACCACCGGCTTCCCACAAGCCTCTCTCTCCCACACAAGCTTCTCTCCACCTCCCACAATCCTCCTGCTCTTGAGGCCGATTGGCTGGGTCACGTGGGCGGAGCCAAAAAAGTCCCCCAATGAGCAGCTCCCTGGTCTGAAAGGGCAGGGAAACAGCCCAATGAGCATCACCGCAGAGGAGCCAATCAGCTAGATGTTGCTGGGCCACTGTGAGCCAATCATCAGCCGGCAGCTGGAAGTTTGCTGGCAGCTGGAAGTTTGCTGGGGCCCCTTCGGCTGTGGCCCCAGCCGGCAGCTGGAAGTTTGCTGGGGCCCCTTCGGCTGTGGCTCTCAACATCTCCCCCTCTCTGTTTAAACAACAAGCATGTGGCTTAGGGACCGTGCCTGCCTTAGGTTGTCCAATAGTACATATGGTCCTTACCCGTTAGGTTGGTACCATTGCAATTGGATCTTACCCGTCACTGACTACCGGTCCAGTATACAGCCACACCTGTGGAGAGGTCTTTGTACCAGTGGGGGGGGGTGAGGTTCTTTGCCTCACCTCTGTTGGCCCCCAAATTTTAGCTGGACGATCATGACAAGCAGAAGGGAGGAAGATACACCAAGCCAATTGATGGCTTCTTTTGGAAAAATTGTACCACCGATGACATCATCAGCAAAAATACCCCAACACTACCACAAGTCGCTAAACCAACAGATAGTTCACAATGCATACAGGTGAGTTCACAATGT